TTTTTTAACCATTCTTCTATTGAGGGGCACCTAGGTTGTTTCCATGTTCTGGCTATTACAAATAGTGCTGTAGCTAGTATTTGAAGGCATCCTGGAAACCTCCTTAACAGTGTCTCTCTCTGGTAAGGTGTCTCTGGTGCCCTCTTCTGGCCTGCTGGCATACATGAGGGAGGAACACTGTAAACAAAATAGATAAATACTTTTGTTTGTTTTTCAAGACAGTTCTGACTGTCCTGGAACTCACAGTATAGACCAGGCTGGCCTTGAACTCACAGAGATCCACCTGCCTTCACCTCCCAAGTGCTGGGATTAAAGGCGTGCACCACCACCACCCGGCAATAAATAAATACATCTTTTTAAAAATTAAAAAATCTCTAAAGTATTACTGATGTGCTATGCTTTCACATTTGTCTGTCAGACCAGCAGTATTCCTTTCAGCTCTTAAATGTTATTAGAAATAACCCTTAGAAATTTTCTTGTAAAAAAATTATTTCAATATAAAGTTTTAATGTCAACACAATAATTAAACTAGAAATTTACTTTTTTTTCTCTTCTTTTTCTTTTTTTTTTTTTAAACAAATAGCATCTCTTATTTGGACTGGTCGTGTAGAACTCTTGCTTAAATCCTCGGTTTCCATCACCAGGATTTCAGACAAACAGAATACTTATTTCCCAAAGCATTCCATTCCCCACTACTTCTTACCACATCTTAAATATATATGCCTACCCTGGAAGTCATTTGATACTTAGGCCCCAAATGATAATATGCCTTTTAATATGCTTTGGTCTCAATATGTGCGTCCCTCTATGATTCATAGGTCAAAACTTAATACCAGTGGGATCTTTTGAGAGGTGTTTAGGTCATAAAGGCTGTGCACTAAATAAACTAACAGTTTTAGAGAGGGATCATGGAAATTGGTTTATTCTCTCTCTGTTCTTATGTTCCAGATACCTGGAATCTTTCTGGTATAGTGAATAAAAATGTAGCAGACAGTGACGTCTTCATTTGGGACTTCCTAGTTTCTAAAACTGGAAAATTTTCTATTCTTTAGAAATTTCTCAGTCTACAGTAGTATTGCTATAGTAACCTAAACAGACTAATGTCTTCAACAAAAATAGTATAGTCATGTCACCTCACTGAGAAAATTCCATAGTTGACAAAACAGGCAAATTTTTTGCAAGATTCATCCTTCAGGAAGCTTCCCACAAGTCAAGCAGTCAGCTAAAATTCCGTTCAGGGATTGCAGGGGAAGGTAAGTGTTCCTCACTGTCTTGAAATTGGAAACTCCATACCAAGAACTCAGGCTATCTTCAAGACTGTTGCTGAAGCAAAAACAAAAATACCCCCCCCCCAAAAAAAGAGGAAGGCTAGAGAAATGACTCAGTGATTAAGAGCTACTCTTCCAGAGGACCCAGATTCAATTCTCAGTACATACATGGCAGCTCATAGCTGTTTATAACTTCAGTTCCAGGGGATCCCAACATCCTCTTATGGCCTCTGTGGACACCAGGCATACACGTGGTATTAGAGAAATATATGCAAGTACAGATAAATATAAAATACATTTAAAAATTTTAGAGCCGGGTGGTGGTGACCCATGCCTTTAATCCCAGCACTTGGGAGGCAGAGGCAGGCAGATCTCTGTTGAGTTCGTAGCCAGCCTGGTCTACAAGAGCTAGTTCCAGGACAGGACAGGCTCCAAACCCTTTAATCCCAGCACTTGGGAGGCAGAGGCAGGTTAATCTCTGTGAGATTGAGGCCAGGTCTATAGAGTGAGGCCAGGACAGGCTCCAAAGCTATAGCGAAACCCTGTCTTGAAAAAAAAATTTTTTTTTCTTTTAGAAGAGGATAGGTTGAAGCTAAGTTACAAAGCTTACCTGTCAAGGCTTCAGCCACATTTTCATATTAAGCATTATATGGTTATGAAACTTTGGCTATATTCCAGAGTTTGATAAAGAATTGTTGGCTGTAGGCCAGTAAGATGGCTGAGTAGGTAATTGAGTTCTGTACGTTGTCCGAAATGATGAAACGAGAGAATCACAAGTTATTCTCTGACATACTTGAGCCTCTACACATATGGTACATACAAACACACTAAATGTAATAATATTTTTTTAGATTTATTTATTATGTATACACTGTTCTGCCTGCATTCCAGAAGAGGGCACCAGATCTCATTACAGATGGTTGTGAGCCACCATGTAGTTGCTGGGAATTGAACTCAGGACCTCTAGAAAGAGCAACCCATGCTCTTAACCTCTGAGCCATCTCTCCAGCCCTGTAATAATATTTTTTTATTTCGTGTGTGTGTTACTATATGTGTTTGAGCCCATAGAGGCCTAAAGAGGACACTAGACCTGGAGTTACAGGAACCTAGGTACTGTAGGAACTGGGTATCAAACTTGATTCTCTGAAAGAGCAACAAGCACTCTTAACCACTAAACCATCTCTCTCCAGGCCCCACCTCTTAATTTTTTTTTTATTCTAACAGTTTTAACAAATTTTCTTGGTGCTTCTGAGAAGAAATGGCTGTTGACATACCCCTATATCACTGTTTTCACTAATTTAATTGGATACTTTTTTTCCTAAAGATTTCTTTTACAGGGCTGGAGAGATGGCTCCGTGGTTAAGAGCACTGGCTGCTCTTCCAACGGTCCTGAGTTCAATTCCCAGCAACCACATGATGGCTCACAACCATCTGTAATGAGATCTGGCGCCCTCTTCTGGCCCTCAGGCATACATGCAGGCAGAACACTATACATAATAAAAATCTTAAAATAAATCTTTAAAAAAAAATAAAATCTTAAAAAAAATTTTAAAAAAGATTTCTGTTACAGTATTGACTTAACAGTGTTTAAACCAGTTTTATATCCAGAATCTTACTTGATTCTCAACATGACTATATAAGAAAAATGGTGGTATTTTCTAAAAAGGTAAAATTACTTCCAAAGAAACGGATCAGAACAAAAACTTGGTACTCTTATCACTTGTATGTCAGTTTCAGTAGTTGGTTTACAGCCAGTTGGAACATGTGTGTTTGAACTGACCTGCCTGCAATGTTGAACAGCACAGGAAACATACAGTGAGACATGGTTGCTTCATTTTGATATAAACCTCCCACTCAGTGCTCAAAAAGTAAGATTTAGCTCCATTTTTACATCTCAGTATGCACCAGTCAACCAAAGGTGTAAAGTTTTTTGTTTGCTTGTTTTTTGCTTCTCAAGACAGGGTTTTTTTCTGTGTAACAGCTCTGGCTCTCCTGGGACTCACTCCATAGACCAGGCTGGCCTCGAATTCACAAATGTCTGCCTCCCAAGTGCTGGGATTAAACGCAGTGTGCCACCACCAGCCAGCTGGGCTTTATTCTTTAAACTTGAAAGGATTTATAATTTTATGATGTTAACTCGATGCATTGTTGAATATAAATCTAATTTTTTTTCCCTCAAACAAGATTTGAAGATAGATCTATTTGTAGGTTCCCTGGTGTAGAGCTGGTAGGCATATTTCACTTAGACGACTATCTTGACAACCATGTTTCTTGTCACTTTTGGGAAGAATTACCTTTAGCCCATTTAAGCAGTGGTCAAGTGGCCAGGTGTGGTGCTTCACACCTTTGTTCCTAGCACTTGGGAGCAGAGTCAGGTGACTCTCTGTTCTTTCAAAGACAGCCTGATCTATCTACATAGAGAGACCCTGTCTCAGTGATGCAGATGAGGAGGAGGAGAAGGAGGAGGATGATCCAATAGCCACAAAAATGTTACTTTAACCACTAAGGTAACAATTCCAGGACTGTGACCTACTGGACATTCTGTTCCTAGTATATTTGTTGGTTGTTTCCTTCATTGTTCAGCAGTTTTATTAGTAAAGCAAGAAAAATAATAATTTAATTTTTTTATTGAGCTATACATTTTTCTCCACTTCCCTCCCTTCCTCTTCTCTCCCCTCTATCCTCCCCTGTGACCCCCATACTCCCAATTTACTCAGGAGATCTTGTCTTTTTCTCCTTCTTGTATAGATCCATATATGTCTCTCTTAGGGTCCTCTTTGTTTTCTAGTTTCTCTAGGATTGTTAATTGTAGGCTGGTTTTTCTTTGCTTACAGCCCCACTTAGGAGTGAGTACATATTATATTTGTCTTTCTGGGCCTTAAATTTTTAAAAGGAAAAAGAGCCAGAGTTTTGTGGGTTTTTTTTTTTTAAACTGTGTGGAGAAAATCCAAGAGATAATCTGATAAACTATTAAAATTAGTAAGTGAAAATACCAAGATACTTTATTTCCATGTGCCATCAAGAAGGAATTTGAAGATTGCACTACTTATACATTCAGTACCTAGGAGTCCTTTATGATGTGTACAGAGCCAGGTGTGGTGGTGCATGTCCTTAATCCCAGCATTCGAGGAAGCAGAGACTCAGGATCACTGAAAGTTCCTGGCCAGCACCGACTGCACTGTCTTATAATTCATCAATTATAAAGCAAAAATAAAAGACACACATACCGCTATAAGAAATTTTAATGGTAAATAATGCCTGTAAGTTTTCATGGAACTTACGGGAGAGGACATTTTAAACACATGCCTCAAATGTACATGTGTTCTTTCAACTAACAAACAGGTATTGCTTGACGAGTATTTGGGGTGAGAGGGACTGGAGACAGAAAATTGAATTTACCTTACTGGTCAAACATGTATTGGGTCAGATAGTAGATAGACAAATGCATTAAAATATTTTGTTGAGGCTACTTAAAATGAGGAGTTGTAGTTAAACATACATGCTTCATCCATCAATCTCTAAGAGAAAAAAATGCATAAAACCATAAGAGCAAAAAAGTGGTAGAAAAATTACAAGAAAACTTCATATTAAAAAGATAATAAGAACCTAATATGGGTTAGCATACTAGAGAAAGCTGATACCTAATTCCCCTGCAAGCAAATCCAGTAGAGAACTCTGGAAGTGACAGGCATATTCAACAACAGGAATTTGTTACTGCTTTGTTTTCCTTGTTATTGACTTGTAAGAGTTTATTTTATATATTGTAAAAACCAATTCTTTGCCAGTTACCTGGCTCATGAATATTTCCTCTTGGAGGAAGACTTATCATTTTATTTTCTTAATTCTGTCTTTTGAAAAGCAGAGGAAATTTTTTATTTTGCTGAGGCCCAGCATATATATTTACATAAATAATATATATATACATATGTTATATGTATGTATTTACGTATACATATATATTACATGTATATTTCCTTTGCCTTCTTTTTTGGTTCTGTATGTTACTTAAATCTTTGTATGTCTCAAGGTTGTATAAATTTTGTCTTGTTTTCTGTGAGAAGTTTTTATTTTACTTCACAAGTATTAAAATGTATCTATTATAGTAGCCACTAGCTACATGTAACTCTCAAGCACTTAAAATGTGGCTTGTCTGGTTAAGTTGTATTATATACACTACAATTACAAAATATATGAAAGAGAATAATAATAACTATGTTAATCTTTATATATAATAAAATAAAATGCTGATATTTGGGCATGGAGCAAAAGAATATATTGATAAATTAAAGATGTTATGCAATTTACAAAAGACCCAAATTAATGAAAATGATATATTATAAAGGAAGAGCTAACTATTTTAAGAATATCCATTCTCCCAAAACTAAACTATAGATTCGTTGTAATTCCTATCAAGATCTTTTGTTGTTGTTGTTTGTTTTTTGAGACAGGGTTTCTTTGTATAACAGCCGTAGCTGTCCTGGAACTAGTTGTTGTAGACCAGTCTGGCCTTGAACTCACAGAGATCCTCCTGCCTCTGTCTCCCGAGTGCTGAGATTAAAGACATATGTCACCACCTCCCAGTTCAAGATCTTTTTTTAAAAAAAAGATTTATTTATTTATTATGTATACAGCATTCCTTCCATGTCTGAAGAGGACATGAGATCTCATTATAGATGGCTGTGAGCCACCATGTGGTTGCTGGGAATTGAACTCAGGACCTCTGGAAGAGCAATCTGTGCTCTTAACCTCAGAGCCATCTCTCCAGATATCAAGATTTTTTTTTAATGTGTATAGACATTTTGTCTGCACATATGTCTGTGTGCTGTGTACATGCCTCATGCCTGTGGAGGCCAATAGATGCCCTGGAACTGGAGTTATATACAGTTGTAAACTGTTATAGGTGCTAGGAATTAAATTCTGGTCTACTTGAGGAGTAGCCAGTAAGCTGCTGAACCATTTCTCCACCTCCCAAATCCAACAGCTTTTAGAGAAAAATTGTATTATTAGGTGAAATTAAGGCTGTGTTTGACCTATGGTTTAGGAGCCCTAGTAGGAACCCAAGCCAAAGCACTTAGACACAACATTTATTTCAGGGCTTCCTATCTCTTGACTTCTGTTTTGAAATGGGAGTCTTGTTGTTGCCCAGGCTGACCTGAAACCCAGTATGTATCTGAGAAGGACCTTCAACTTCAACACTCTACTTCCTCCTCTGCAGCCCAATGGTTACGGGCATAGTTAATCGAGTTTGGTTGTGCATGCTAGGCAAGCACTCAGCCAGATGAACCACATCCCTGTCTCTGGTCTCTCACTAATAATTTGATCCCTTAGCTATGAAGAGAACTTTTTATCATTTTTGCATCTCTGTTTTTTCTTCTCGAAAACGTAAAGAATGGCTGTTCCTAACTAAAATTCCATTGAGTTTGGTAAATAAATGCCATGTATTTCTAAGGCAGTGATAGCTCTCTTGAACTTCTAAATGTTTCTGACCTACTGGGTGATGGTGGCACACGCCTTTAATGGCAGCACTCAGGAGGTAGAGGCAGGCAGATCTCTGTGAGTTTGAGGTCAGCCTGGTCTACAAGAGCTAGTTCCAGTACAGGCTCCAAAGCTACAGAGAAACCCTGTCTCGAAAAAAAATACATAAGTAAATGTTTCTGACCTGTTTTAAATGTGTGTATGCAATGAGTTATTGGCTGTGAGCATTTTTAGTATGTCCAGTAATAAAAACAGGGTTGTTCTTGTCACTCTTTCACTCTTGATTGGATTTTTTTCAAATATTTATTTATTTATTTATTATGTATACAATATTCTGTCTGCGTGTATGCCTGCAGGCCAGAAGAGGGCACCAGACCTCATTACAGATGGTTATGAGCCACCATGTGGTCGCTGGGAATTAAACTCAGGACCTTTGGAAGAGCAGGCAATGTTCTTAACCTCTGAGCCATCTCTCTAGCCCTCTTGATTGGGTTTTATTGTTGTTTTGTTTTGTTTTCAGGTTGAACCAATGGCTTTATTTGGGTGGGGAGGGGTGCATGTACCATAATAGTATATGTGTGGAAGATAGAGGACAACATGTAGAATTTAGTTCTCCTTCTACCATGTAGGTCTCAGGGATTGAAATCAGGTTGTTATAGGCTTGTAGTCAGACACCTTTTATCCACTGAGCCAACTTGCCAGCCCATGAACAGCTTTGTGCTTGTTAGGCAAGCATACAACCACTGACCAGCAACCCTAGCATTCATTATCACGTGGTTTTTTGTTGTTGTTCTTGTTGTTAGATTTTTTTTTATTATGTATATATGATATGGGAGGGTATGTGCATGTATGAGTAAAGGTATTAGTGGATCCAGAAGAGATCTTCAGATCCCCTGTAAGCTGGAGCCACAGGCAGTTGTGAGCCACCTGATACCAATGCTGGGAACCGAATTTGAGTCCTCTGTACCTCTACCTGCTGAGCCATCTCTCTAGCCTTTTCCCAATCATTCTTACTTAACACTGTGTTCAAGACAAAAACTAGCACTGACACAGTGAGAAACAAAAGTCCAAAATAAGGAGATGAAGCTGGAGGCCTGGAAAGGTGGCTCAGTGGTTAAGTATGGGTACTGTTCTTACAGAGGACTAGAGTTTGATTCCTGGCACCCATGTTAGGCAGATCACAACCTCCAATGGCTATAGCCTCAGGTCTGGCACCTATGGCCTACGTTGTTGGAATAGTGGCACAGGATTTAATCTCAGCACTTGAGAGGCTAAGGCAAGAGGATCGTCACAAATTGAAGACTGGCTGCCTGGACTTCAGAGTAAATTCCAGCCCAGTCTGAACTAACTCTCAAAAGAGAGTTAATGGTTACCTGTGTTCCAGTAAATAACCACTGACCCATACTCATGCAAGCAACTTGAATTAAACTCAGAAGAAGGTATAAGGGCGCTGGGCGGTGGTGGTGAACACCTTTAATTCCAGCACTTGGAAGGCAGAGGCAGGCGGACATCTATGAGTTTGAGATGAGCCTGTTCTACAGAGTGAGTTCTACTACAGCCAGGGCTACACAGAGAAACCCAGTCTCAAAAAAAAAAAAAAGAAGTATGTAGGTACTCGGAACAAAGAAAGTTTTCAGATGGATGCAAAAGGACTAAAATCATTACATGCCTTATGAAACTGTCAAAGGATAAGCACAAATTTTATTTAAAACAGAGAAATTCAATAAAATCAACTAATCTCTGAGTAACATTAAGAGAAGAAACTGGCCAGAGATGTTTTGCTCAATTAGTACAGTGATTGCCTTCCATACACAAAGAACTGGGTTGGATCCCTAGCATAAATAAACCAGTCATGGCGGCATAGCCCCATAAACCAGACAAACACAGGACCAGAAATTCAAGGTCTTTCTTGGCTGCATAAAAAGTTAGAAGCCAGTTTGAAATACATTAGACTGTCTCAACAAAATAGCAAAGACATAAAAAATGGTTGAATAAAAGATACAAACCTGTTTCTTTAAAAGATCCAATAATATATATGTGAGGCTCTGGAATTGATCTTTGAAAACAGGAGAGGTGTGGAGAGAGAAAAGATCAATGAAAATACAAAATCAAAATGTCTTGGGATAAATTTAGCATACCATACACCACATCTATATGAAAAGAGTTTGTAAATGCTGTTGGGAGAATGCTTCAATAAAGTTAAAGGACTGCTATGTGATTGACTAGGCCTCGACATAAAGACACACCTTTTCTCCCTAATATATCTTTGCTTTGATCCCAGTAGATATACTAGTGGGAATTTTCTTGTGAGAAAATTAATACTAAAATAATGAGGAAAATTCTTTAAAACCTATTGAAGTCTCCAGGCAGTGGTAACACACACCTATTTTTTTTATTTTAATTTTTTATTTTTTGAGACAGGGTTTCTCTGTATAGTCCTGGCTGTCCTGGAACTCACTCTGTAGACCAGGCTGGCCTTGAATTCATAGAGATCTGCCTGTCTCTGCTTCCCAAATGCTGGGATTAAAGGTGTGCACCACTACTGCCAGGCAGAAAGTGCATTCTAATAGATATTAAAACATTATGGTCTGTAATATGGCCTTAGTGCTTAAGAGCACTAACTGCTCTTCCCAAGTACCTGGGTTCCGTTCCCAGGTTTCACATGGTGGCTCATAACTGCCTTTAACTCCAGTCCCTGGGGATCCAATTCCCTCTTCTGACCTCTAGGGGCACATACTTAGTACATATGCATACATTAAGCACACACACATACACACATGAAATTATTAGTAAATAAACCATTTAATGCTCAGAACTCATACCAAAAAAAAAAAAAAAAGACAAGTTGAATTGAATATATAAAAACGGAAAATCTCTTTAGAGCCCAGTCTGGAAAGAACAAAATGAAATGGAAAACTTACACAATATAAATTGTAGGCACAGTTCTACTTCCCTTTCCTGTGAAGAACTTCTTAAGACTGTAAGGCAGTTAGGAAAGTATCCAACAGTACACAAAGACTGGGAAGAAATCACCAGTGGTTCTTAAATGAAATATCCCCAACTTTAGCTATTAGAATAATGCAAATTAAAACTACCCAGATGCTTTTCAAAAAGTTTATGTTTGTGAAGTGAGGGTATCCTATCAAATATCTAGATCAGTATGATGGTGCAAAGATCTTCAGTTCCAGGCCAGGCTAGGTAACATAAAGCCTGGGTGTCAAAAACAAACCAGAGACTGGCAAGATGGATCAATGGGTAAAAGTGATTACCATTCAAGCCTGACCATCTGAGTTCATTTTCCAGAACCCACAGTGGAAGGAGAAAGATACACTTCCCAAAAGATGTCCTCTGACTTCCACATGCATGTCATCATGGCACATGTGTGCCTGCACGCATACCCATATTAACACTCACGCATCACATGATAATCACAATGTAAACAAAACACTAAAGCTCCAGGTATTGTTACTAGTTGACAAGAACATCAGCAGCATAGGAGGCAGTATTCATCCACTTTGTGCTGACCTGTGAATTAACACTACATGGAAAGTGATTTGAAAATGAAGTTTATGTTTCAGATGTATTTACCTGTATGCAAATTGATAGATTTATCTCAGCATTTTTCAGCTAGAGTAAGGAGAACTGAGACTCAGAAGTAATCTAATCCTGTATCGATAGGGGACTAAGCAGATGGAAACAATGATTCCCCAGTAAATATTGTTTTGTAACAAAGATTGGTTAAACAGTGTAAATGAGGACCTGCCATTTGTGGAGATTGTGTGTGGGGGCATAAGACATAAATAGCATAGTTAGCCTAAGATACATGGCATTAAATACACCGCCAATATTATGCAAATACCACTGTATTTTTGTAACGTTTTTAATTAATCACTTCAGTAAACTCAAAAATAAAATCATCATGCAGCTGGATTAAGGTGGTCACTCAGACCAACACTTACCCAGGCTTTCTGCATTCCACTGACCTGCTCTACAGCTAGGATGCTCATTCTGAAGCCATGGTTCTTAGGGCTTTACACTTTCACTGTAGGGGCTTTCTATTTCGTCCTTACTGTCCTTGGACTCAGAGATCTGCCTGCCTCTGTTTCCCAAATGTTGAGATTAAAGGCATAAACCATGACGCTCAGCTTCTCAGTTACATTTTAATACACTTTGTCACCACAAACAAGCAAATAAATGTTCAAACTAGAAAGACAACATTATATCCTTTTTAATGAGTCACATTTTATGCTGCTAGTGGGCATGCAAAGTAATTTCCATACAGCCATTATGGAAATCAGTTTGGAAGCCCCACAAATAAACTTAAAAATGCCTATTCCTGGGCATATACCCAGAGAGCTCCATATCCTGCCATAGAGATATCTACACACCCATATTTATTGCTACTTTATAATGGCAAGGAAATGGAACCAACGAGATGTTCAGCAGATGATTAGGTAATGAAAATGAGGTATATATACAAAATTAAGTATTTAGCTTGAAAAGCAAAATCATTTTTGTGGGAAAATGGATGGACTTAAAATATTACTAGTATTGTTGGATCACCCAAACTCAGAAAACATTGCCTGTTCTCCCTCATATGTGAATCCTAGTATATATACAGACAGCTGAAAGTATGGATAAAGTGTAAAATTTAAAAAGAAGACCAGGAAATACTAGGTGATGAGCAAGCAAGGGCAGGATGTAGGTAAAAGGACACATGTAATTTATTTATATTTTTGTCATCCCAAGTAGAAACTACCATTAAACATTTAATTTCTTCCTTGATCCTCCCTGCTTAGGAATCTATTCCACTCCATCATATGAATTTTGTATGTTCTATGTATTATACATAAGTGGGACAGTGGATATTTTGTCTTTTTCTTGGTATATTTCATGTAACATGTTTTTAAGATTGGTCCATGTTGCGTGCATCAGAATTTTATTTCCTTGTATGTCTGAGTAGTATCCCATAACAGATATGCATGATGCTTTGTTATCCATTTATCTGTTGGCCAACTTGGGTTTTTTTCTACATTGTACCTACTATTAATAATGCTGTAAGAATCATTGCCATACATTTGTTTGATCCTTCAGTTGTTTGGGGTAGACACCCAAAAGCAGCATTTCATGCGGTAATTATGTTTAATTTTTAAAAAATAGTTCTATTTATTCTTTGATAGTTTCATGGATGTATACAAACTTGATCATATCCACCCCCAAATCCTCCTCCCATTCCCTGTGATAAGTTGAGGAACTGCCAGACTCCTTTCCATAGCAGCTGCATCAGTTTATTCTCTCCAGTTTCTTGCTTGCCATTGTTCCTTTTTCCTCTTTCTCTTAGAAGTCATATTCATGAATATGAAGTGGTACATTGTAGTTTTGATTTTCATCTCCCTAACGATTAATGATGCTAGCGATCATTTTCCTGCACTTACTACAATTTTAAATCTTTGGGGAAATGTCTTTTAATGACTTTTTTCTGTTTTTAATAGAATCTTATAAATGTTAAATTTGGACTTTTAAAAAATGTTCTGGATATTAGATATTTAACTAGATACATAAATTGAAAATTTTTTTTCTTCTGTGGGTTGTCTTTTCACTTTTCCAGTAGGATCCTATCGAGTTCAAAAGTTTTTAATTTTGATGAAATCTGCATTTTAAAATTTTTCATTATTTACTTATGCATATGTTTGTATGTCTCCATGTCCTCAAGGTGGTCGGAAAGGTATTGGCTCCCCAAAGTGGTAGTTCCAGGGAGTAATGAGCTGTCTGTTGTGGGTGCTGGGTGTTGAACTCAGTCCTCTTTAAGAACAATAAATGCTCTTTCCCACTGAGGCATTTCTCCAACCCTGAAGTCCGACCGTTTCCCTCTCTGCTGTATGTGTCCCTCTAGTGTCTGTTCTAAGAAGCCACTGTTTAATCAGATGATGGACATCACACCTTAGGTTTTCCTCTGAGCCTTATTCTGTAGCTCTCCCATGTAGGCATTTAATCCATGCAGAGTTGACTTTATGTGTGGAATGTGGTGGGGATTGACTTCTTTCATGTGGAAATTTAGTTGTCCCATTGTACAGATTTTATTTCTAGGCTTTCAGTTTCATTCTGTTCATTTATATCTATATATATCTATATATATATGCCATTTATATCCTTTTTATTTACTTAACTGTGAACCAAAACATAAAAATATAGCATTTGGGACTGGGGAAACAGCTCTGTTTGCCTTGCAAGTATAAAGACCTGAGTTTAGTCTCCCAAACTTCATTTCACAAAGCCAGGTTTGTTCGTGTGCACTTGTCACCCCAGCACAGGAAAGGCGGAGATGGCCCGGGGCTCACTAGCTGGCCAGCCTAGCCTGTTAACCATGATAATGCCTACTCATTCAATCCATCTCTAATTTACTCTTTCAGGAAAATGTGCTGTGTTGTCATTCAAGGACTTCCTCTCCTGCAGGCCAACTGAAATACCAGAAAATGACATTCTGCTTTGTGAGAGCCGCTATAATGAGAGTGACAAGCAGATGAAGAAATTCAAGGGGTTGAAGAGATTTTCGCTCTCTGCTAAAGTTGTAGATGATGAAATTTACTACTTCAGGTAAAACTTCTAAAATTAAGGGAGAAAAGACACTTGGGCTAACTTATCAAAATAGTGTAGCCCAATGTTTTAAGTTATTATTAGGTCTTGAACTATCATTACATAATTCCAATTGAAAATATTAATTTAGTGAAATGTGGTAATTCCCATACTTGGGAGGCTGAGACAGGAGGATTGTATAAGTTTGAATCAGCCTGGGCTACAAAGTGAGACTTAGTTGCAGAGAGAGAAGGAAAATATTCAATTAAAAAATGGACAGTTCTTCTAATAGTACCTTGGCTAAGACATGAGCGACTGTATAAAGAAGACAGAAACACTTGGTTCTGGTTGGCAGCCTCTCTTTGGGGGCATTGCTCATTTCCATAGGTTATAACAATTCCCTTTTAACATATAGTCCATTTGACCTGACCTGTGCTCTGTGAGTATTCTTCAGAATTATTTCTAAGTAGAAGTGACATCACAAATACCCATTTAAACTACTTTGTTGCCCTTAGTCTCTAAGGCTTAGAGTGACTGTGGAAGGTTGTAAAATGTCATTTGTAGATGTTCAAATCGGCTCTCTGACAACCTGGACATGATCAGCAACTTACTCACTTATCTACTTACATAATCATTTATTTATTTTTGATGCTGTTTTCAGAAAACCAATCATTCCTCAGAAAGAACCCTCACCTTTGTTGGAAAAGAAGATACAATTGCTAGAAGCTAAGTTTGCTGACTTAGAAGGTGGAGATGATGATATTGAGGAGATGGGAGAAGAGGATAGTGAGGTCATTGAACCTCCATCTCTACCTCAGCTTCAGACTCCCCTGGCCAGTGAGCTGGACCTCATGCCCTACACACCCCCGCAGGTAAGGTGACATGCCCATT